ATGTTGAGTTTAACTTTAAGAAAATGCACCTTCTTTCAGTCACTTTCTAATTCATTCCCAAAGGTGAATCAGAAAAATTATCTGCCAACACAATTTATTCCCTTTATTATTGCTTTGTGTTTTTTTGTTTGTTTGTTTTGCTTTGTTTTGTTTTATATAAGGCACCCTCCCCACCCCCATTACCTCCCACCAGAAAGGGGAGAGGGTGAGAAATCACCTGTTAGGAGGGATGGTCATGCCATAATTCCTCCTCTTCCATTCTCCTCTTGAACTCTTCAGCATGCACATACATATGCCTGGAGTGATTTCCAAGCCACTGGGTCTGGGACTAAAACCGTGGAGTTGGCAATGTGGAATCCAGCCCCTTAACTTCTACGCCACCTGCTGGCCCCCTCTTTATTCTTTTAATTAAGAATTTTCATTAACTCCCACACTTTCTCAACCAAATGTTGTTAGAAGAGGAAAGTCCCATTATGTTCTGTCTTGGATTAGACACCCAATCATTCTTTATTTAGTTCATCATATTATAAGCACTCTGAGGGCTGGTCCTGTTATCTTTCATAGATTCAAGACAAGGGACCCATGCATAATTACAGCTGGATAAATATTTGTTCTGAGTTTATCATTTTAACATTTACCAAGTCTTCTTCATGATTTATCTCCACAATTATCTAGGCAGATGAATTGCCTTCCATTTTCATTTTGTAATCTCAACTAGGAATATAGAAAGAAGCATTGAGTACTAGCTTCTAGCAGCTGAAGAACAAGCACAGAAAAATGATCTGTGCAGAAATCATATCGTTTAAAATATGGAAAAGGGGGGGCAGCAGGTGGCATGGTGGTTAAGGTGCGGGACATTCCCACATGGCCGATCATGGTTCAAATCCCAGTCCTAATGGCTTGCATTCTCACTTTCTCTCTGTTTCTCTCTGGTCTAATTAAAATAAATGAATAAATAAAATTAAATAAATAACGCTTAAAAATAAAATAAAATATGGACAAGGGATAGAGTCTTAGAATTTAAAATAATCTTCCAAGATAAAATTCCCCCCAAAAATCTAGAAACCTGGATGTATATCCAAAACAGATTGGCTAAATAGACTATGCTATATTCATGCAATGAAAAACTGTATAGACATTAAGAAGAATGAGACCCTCTTTTCTAATGAAATGCATCATTATGTCACAAACAATAATACTTCTTTTAATTTAACATTATAATAGGCACCGAGGCCAGCAGGTAGTATGGTGGTTAAAGCACTTGACTCCCACATGGTCAACCACAGCTCTCGAGTCCCAGGCTGGGTGTCTTGCTCTCTCACTCCTTCTTCACCCTCTTTCTGTCTCTCTCTCTCTCTGGTGAGTGTACGTGCCCTATAGAAAATTTTAAATAATAATAATAATAAACAAAATAAAATAAGTAATTATTTTTTAAAAAGCATTATCAGTACTTTCATCTTGTCCCACTTTTATTGCCAATGTTATTAAAGTTTTACTATTATTCTCTTCCATCTTTTTTCTTTTTTAGATATATTATTTCTTTAGATTACACAAGTATTCACCTGATCTTGTTTTCCTAATTTTTAAAAGTTTAAATGAATATTACATTTTATAAAATGTC